ACGAAACCTGCTGATGGAAAGTAGCTGGTAGGTAGACAAACTCACAGGCAGGGTACCCAGTCACACAGAGGAACTTTCACCACAAAACCTGACCTATGGTCCCCAGCCCCAAGTGTGCCATCCTCCTCAATGGGAATGTGTACAGACATTCACACCCCCGGGCTGTTCCCAGGTTATTTATCTCCCAGAGTGGCCATTTTTGCTCTGGGAGAAAAACCCTGAACTTCTGTACACTTGTGGTTTCTACTGGGAGAACACTGACTCTCCCAGGAGAAAATGAATGTCTGTAGGTGGCTTTGGTCTTTGATTAGTATAGAAAATGCTGGGGTGGATAACTAGTGCAAGGTACCATATAATACATCTATGCTCCGCTGTGTGTCATAAGCCCTGTACGGCTAACAGCTGTCTCAAGTGGTAGCAGCTGGTGCTGTGGACACGGAAGGATACAAGGTCTATCCCTGTTACTGCCTGACCAGGAAGCTCCTCAGTGGCCTCAAACTATGATTACAGTATTGTAACCACATGAAACACTCTCTGCTTCGCAGCACTACAGAGGAATGTTAGCGTGAAAGGTGAATGGTAGCCTGGTCTCACTTGGCTAGATTTGCTAGAGTGAACACATTGACATAGTGAACAAAACACCCCTTTTACTGTTCAGCCTGATCAGTCTCTCTGGCAGGACTGAGCCACATTTGGACGAGAGGATTAGCAAGCACTCACATTGAATTCCTCCCGGAAGAGCTTATTGTCGTCTGCCATTCGCCGGTTAATCTCCTCTTCCAATTTATCGACAGGCAGCGGCGGGTATTTCCTGTTGGTGCTGGGAGACCGGGCCAGCAGTGGCATGCTCTGAGGCTCTGCAAGATCACACATGCACAACACTGTTTACTTCTCCACTCTCAAAGCTGGGAAACAGGTTCTTATAAGACCACTGGTTCATTTTTGACAATTTTGCCTCTCTGAGGTAGCACTGATTTAGTTTGCTCTTTCTATGTGGTCTGCTGTGCAAGGATCTCAGAGTGCTTGCAGACATTAATGAAGTCTCTCAGTATCCCAGGGGGAGTGATCTTTGGATATCATTCTCTTCCTTTTACAGAACCATGATGCTGGGGGCAGAGCTACATTTTCAATTTAGGATGTCATAAGTCACTTACATTCATTCATACTTTGCTCTTATCTATATAGCTATGCTGATTTTACACACACACACACACACACATACACACACACACACACTTTTCCTGCGCAGATTTTCTTATTCCAGTATCAGAGTGACTTTTTTCAAAAGGAGCCTCTTGTGCAACTATACAGGGGCACACATGGGGATTGAATCAGCATAGTTGTGCCAGTCTGCATTCATAGCTTAGCTTACACCAGTTTAACACTGACACAAAGAAGATCTTAGATATTAAAAGGCTGATTTTCAAGCTTATTGCACTACTAAAAGTTGCTAAGGTATGGCAGAGATGGGCTCTGTATGAAACCTTACATAGAATACAGAAGTGAAGTGCACTCATGTCAGCTCTAATGTGCCTAAATGTAGGATTAGGTGGCTAACTTCAGGTTCCCACCAGGTAAGTTTTGGCCCAAAGTCACAAATCAAATTATCCACAGGGCCAGGAGAAAATCCAGGCATCTTGGTTCACAGGCATGCACCTTAAAAGGGACCTGCAAAGGCTTTTGAACATTTGGGCTTGTGTGTTTCTGCGTCTCGATGGACAAAGGAGGAGCAAAAAGACTTTTAAAGACAAGAACAGGACTTTTTTTTCTTGCTTTAACCTTCAATATCAGTAATGTCAAGTCTGACACTGGGTTTGCTGAATGACCTTACAGCTCTCATCGGGTTTTTTCCCCACACTTACTCTTAAATGGAAGCAATGGAGGGTAGTTGGATCTTTAACAAAGATGCATTTTCTCCAAAACATTCATTTCCACTGGAGTCAATCAGATTTTAGCAAAACAAAGAGCAGCTTTAAACAGTGTAACTATTAGAGCTGGTGAGATATTTTTCATTGTAATGTTTTTAGGGAAAATGATTTTTCAGTTCAATTCAATATGACATGTAAACCCAAGTTTTGCAAAAAATGCTGATGTTGTCAAAATTGCTTTTGTTCAGCACCAGAATATTTAAAAATCAGTTTTTTTAAATAATTTCCACAAAAAAAAAATAGAAATAAAATTTTAGTTTTCCACCAAATGTTATATGGAAGAATAAAATAGTTTTCTGATCAACTGTAGCACCAATGAATTTCTTCCCTTCCAGTTGTCCAGTTTTCAGTTTACTAATTCTAATGGTGCCCTCATTCCAATAGCTCTCCAGAACTAGTAGAGTGAGAAAACTTTTTCTTTGAAATGATTTCAAGCAACCGCCCACAAAACCATGGATCCTACAAAGAATGAGGCACACATTGACAGGCTACAAGGCATTTGCCCATGGGACTCTTCACAATATGTAAATTAAGCGCAAGGTCTTCTAGTGCTCCCGTGACAAAAAGAGTGCATGCGAGTCAATCGTGCATGCATTTCTTTTCAAGATCAGAGCTAAGATGATATCTTGTTGTGGCTGAGAGTAAGAGTAGACGAAGATATCCTAAGTGTGAAAAGAAACCACCTCTCTCAAACACCATTTTAAGGAGAGCTTTACGGCAACCAGCAATGGGGAAAAATTAGATTTGGTGTCTCATCTTCTCCCCAACTTGCCCCACGGGATATAAGGAGGGCTGGAAACGGCGACTATCATTGGCATAAGTATTGCAATAGCGTTTACAGGACCAAACAAAATGGGAGTCCAGCACACTATGCACCATATTGGCATTCTGTTCCCCATTACAGACTGAGATCAAGTTGTCCCTTAACTTCCTCTGTGTTAAGCTAAACTGATTGGGTTCTTTGAATCATTTATAACAAAGCCTGACCACTTCAATAGCAAGATCTGAATGTAAGATTTTCAGGCCTGCTTGAGCTAAAGGATAACATCTTCCCCTATTTTGCTGGTTCAGTAAGCCATCTTGTGAATCAGCCACTCAGGGAGACAAAACTGCAGGCCCTCCAAGTGGTTACTCCCTCAGACGAGACTCACCTGTATCATCTGTGCGGCCATTGGACAAACGGAAGGAGTTGGAATGGCTCCCAGCTTGCTTGTATTTTTTGAATCTAAAGAAGAGTTCAGAAAATTACCACTGGAACATAAGGATCAGCCAAAATGGATTTCTTTGTAGGATAAATGCCCCCAAGTCTGATCTAAACTCCACAGTGATTTTTATCCCTCTCTAAGGCATTGGCTGGGAATCAAAGTGGTTTTGAGGTCTTGTGCACAGCAGTATCCCCTCAGTCATACAGCAACTAGTTTTCTCCATCCATGGAGCTCTTACTGCAGTCACACAGGGTTTCAGTTAGGGCACCGTTTGACCCAAAATGCATGGCCCTCAGGTCTGGAGGAAGTAGAATGTTTCCCATTTTACAGATGGGAAAACTCAAGCACCAGGAGGTCAAGGACAGAAACTCAGTGGCAGAGTTAACAAAAGTCCCCAGGAGGGCCTGCCTCCTATGCCTCTCCCCAAAGAACTAGCTCATGTGTCTACTGATTAACAGCAGACAGTCCCCAAGGGAAGCAGGTGTCTGCTCCAGGCCACACAGCAAACCCCAAATTCAGCATTTCATTCTGTTCCTTCCCTTTAGTTGTGCACCAGCTCTCACTGTACTTTACAGCAGATGTTTTGGGCATCAATGCAACACTGTGGGAAACTCTCGTGGGACCCATTTAGAAGTATAAGAGCAAAGACAGCCAACATAGGGTGGTGATCTTCCTGGAAGCCAGCTGCTCCATCCTGAGAACAGCTGCAAGGATGCAACATCCCTCTTTCTGGAGTTTTCATGAACTCATTATCATTTGCCTCATATACACTTAGATACTATGGTGACGGTAGCTATAAAAAACCCTAGAAGAGATATGGACCCCACCTCCACAACAGGACACTCCAGAGATATGTGTTTTATGGCCTGGTGCAGCAAAGCCCTTAAACACACATGGTTAAATCTCCCCTCATCTAGTAATATGTTTAACCACATGCTTTTAATTTCAAGCACTTGCTTAACCCACTGCCCTGAAGCTAAGGGCTTTGCTGAATCATGGCCTGTAAGTAGTGGGGAAGAAATCAGGTAATGCTATTGCTTCATACGGGCTAGGAAGTTGTCTGAAGTTCCAGGTGGCCAGGGCTCAAAGGCAAAGCTCCCACTGACCCCCTGGTGCTGGACTGGCCCAACACCAAGGAATAACATGGACTTTTCAACCGACAAAGGAAATTGCATTTTTTTTTCATTTACTAAACACTGCAGCGACTATGTAAAATGCTTACTGCCAGTGAGCAAACACTTCCTCCTGGCTGCTGAGATCTGCATTCAGGGCTGGGGGCCACTTACAGAGGCTGTGATTCAGAAAAAGGCCAATCAATTGCTCCGATCCTTTAAAAACCTCCCCATGGAACGTCTCCTGCTCTATACGTGCAGCACCCGTGTCACCTTGTCCTGCTAATGAGCTACCCTCGCAGATCATCTTTCAGTCTGAAGATTCCCAAAGCTCTTTGCAAACCAGACTGGCCACTTTCTCCCACCACAGAAACGCAGCTGCCTGACACAGAAAGCACAGCTGGTTAAAGGCCCGAGGCAAAGCCCACTGAAGTCAGCAGAGAGAATCCCACTGGTTTCACTGGGCTCTGGATCAGGACTGTGGAGGTTGAGATGGAAATGAGTGTCACATTCAGCTGTAAATGTAGAAGGGGACTGAATAGGCTTAATGCAGCTTTCTGCATTTCAATCAGGACACTAAGTTAACATGTTTTTGTTTTTTTTTAAATGCCATGTGATTTTTAATGACACAAGCAGTCAGGTTCTTGGTTTATCCACCATCCACAGTAATAGAGGTATTCTCAAACCCACATATTCTTAGCTCTGATATTCTGTCCATCTGTGAATTGTTGGATAGGGCAGGATCTCAATCTCAGTAATGACTATGATGATTATAGTGCATCCCCAGCAGCATAGAACACCCCGCCACATGAGGAACTGGCTTCATATTGATTTATACTAAAGAGCAGCACCTACCAAGTCACCAGCACATCTCCTGCATTGTCTAGGACAGGGTGTCAAATATACTGGATGCAGCCCACCGAGCTGTTCTGCCTTGCCTGCTGGTAGTCCGGGCTACAAGACACTGTGAAGCATGGCTTGCACCCAGACCTGTGCCACTACCTGCTCTCCAACCTCCTGTCACCATCAACCACCCAGACTCCTGCTGCCACCCACCCCAAGACATGCATACTGCCTGGCCACAGAAATATGCTACCACCCACCACTGCTGTTGCCAGCCCCACAGATCTGGCCCAGGATGGGGGGGGGGGGGCAACTTTTTTGGCAGG